CGACTTCAGAAGATCCTAATTACCATCTCATTCATTTTTTCTCCTAAAGAATTTCCTTTATATTCCAAAAATATTGCATGCCTTTCGTTCTGCTCCTCTTTTCCAATTCCCAAACATGTTACTAGATTTGGAATTTAAAGTTAAAATCCCCCTTGAATCTATATTAAATCTCAAATTCTCGCTCAGTTGCTTAATGCAAGTCTCTCGGGTATAGGCTTTCGATCCCCTGCCTATCTGAGTATTGCAGCCTTTCTCTCATCGTAATCAAAAGTCAAACAATTAATAACCTTTTTACCATCAATACAGGTCCCCATCTGGGGTTATCACTAGACCTATGAAGATCAAACTCCCCAAATACTCCCTTGCCTTCTCTAGACAACAAGATTGGTACTTACCTTTCATTCCATTCCTTTACTCGCACTGCATTGAAGGGCATTTCCTCGATCTTTAACCCAGATATCCCAACCGCAATAAATCAAAGTAGTGATTCTCCATCATCAATTCAACATTTCAACACATTCTATGAATGGCTTGAGGCTATCCCTAGAACCTGGTTTGCTTCTTTCCAACGAAGAACTTCAGATAAGAATAGGTCTTTGTTTAGGCTGTGATATCGTCACACCCTCATCTTGCAAAGTTCAGCTCCCTGTTGACAGTCTAGGTTATCACCCTCTGCCGCTTCTCTAAAGGCCGCCATTCATGCCACCAAGCAATAAATTTAATTATTACTAGAACTCTTCATTCATCTAATATTCCGTCAACTTTGGAACCTATAGGTCTTAATCTCGAGCAAAATATCGAGTGTGACGGAATAACACTTATTCTATGAAGCAGGGGAATCCTGCTAGCCTGGGATTATACATGTGTTGATCGGTTTGCACCATCCTTTATCTCAAATTTCTTAGTTAGAAAGGAAATTATAAATTAATAAATACATTAGCATTCTTAATATTACTCTCATCCCAATTGTTTTTGACACAATCGGTGCTTTTGGATCCATAGTAAAGAATTTTTTCAAGGCACTCGATATTTTATTCTTATATCTTTTATTGTAAATTGTAATCTTTAAATCGAAATAAAAATTTAAAAAAAAATAATTAATTAAATTTTAAATTTTTTTTTCCTTTTTCCCAATTATTTACCCTTTTCAAAAGAATTAACCTTTCTTTTTTTTTACCAATAAAACTATTACACAATTTTTAAACATTTTTATTAAATTACCATAATAAAATTTTCCAATAACCTTTCAAAAACAAAACTATACCATTATTTATTTATTTAAACAAATAATTACCCTTCTTTCATTATATTATTTATCTTCAACCCTTTTTTTAAATTTCTCTCAGACCGAACAACTTATTTAATCAAACATTATCAGTTGTCTTCATCATGAAATTTTTTTTTTAAACATTCCTTAATTTTTTCAAATTCTTATTTCTTCTTTTTTTGTTTAACCAATTTACCATAATTAATTAAATTTTTTTTAACATTCCTTAATTTTTTCAAATTCTTATTTCTCCTTTTTTTGTTTAACCAATTTACCATAATTAATTAAATTTTTTTTAAACAGAATTTATTTCCTAAAACCTTTATAAAAAATTTTTTACTATACATTCCTTATTTTTTTTCCGTTAAAAACCATAATTAATTTCACTTTTCTTTTAACACAAAATTCATTTCGAACACCCCCCCCCCCCTTTTTTTTTACTTTACAACTTTTACTACATACAGTGTTGTGATGATTTAATTTAAACACATGCATATATATTATAATCTTTACAAATGTACAACAAAAGAAATAATATTTATATATGCATGTGTTTAAATTAAATCGTCAATATGTTACATTAAATCATCACAACACTGTAATACATTCATAACAATTTAACTTCAACCCATGTGTTACTTTTCTCTACATATTTCATTACTTAACTTATACAATGTACTAAACATTTTTATTACAACTGCAATTAATCATATCAATTTTTTCTCTTGATATTTTTATTTAAAATCAATTAAATTCTCAACTTTTATATAAATATATTTCTATCCTTTAACTTTTCCACATCACATTATCACGATAAAACACATAAGATATCAACAACCGTTGAGCTTTAATACAGCCACTTTACCCCTATATCTTACTTAATTTATTATCCTGATTTTATTTAACATCATTTAAATTTACTATTTTTTTACATATATATATTTTCCACTCCTAGACTTTCATTTTAATAATATACACATAAAAATCAAAATAAATCGAAACGTAACCCAATTATCTAATTCTCTCTCCATTTCTGCTCTCCATTCAAAAAGCTCTCAGCGCACTACATAATACTGCGGAACGTACCCCTCTTTTAAATGTATATATCTACCTCATAATCTATCAAACGATCCAAATTTTTTTTATCAAAAATTTCCCCATATTTATTTTTTAAATTTGCCACCGCTTTTGCAACTCTGCCAAATTTTGATTTACTTCAGTTTCATCTACTACTACTCTCCTCCAATTTTTTCCTTACTAATTTCGTTGGCATAATTTCTATGACATGTCTTTTATCTCTTTCAAATTTTATTTCTTCCGACTGATCATTATCCCAATATTTTCTTATATCATTATTTCCCTTTTCAGTTATTGTCTCAATCTCCAAACTATGGTCTATTTCATTATTAATTATTTTTTTCATATATTTATTTATTCATACATTTATTTTTCCATATTTCCACCAATCAAATTACCCTTCCCATTCCATTGCTTTTACCTTCACATATCTTCATAATTTCTTCCTCCATATTTTTATCAATATTTATCACCTTAAAAATTTTTGTTGAATCCTATCCTAATTCCACATTGGTATCATTTATACTGTCACTATATCTTCCTTATTTATTTTCATTCCATACTTCATTTTTCCCACCGCACTCGCATTAATTTCCTCTTGGTTATACATTTCTTTATTCTCTTTTGGCATTGCATTTCCACTTTCAAACTTAATTTCCCCTAAAGTATTCCATAAATTAATAGGCGATCCAATTTTCACTATTCAATTTTATCTCATAACCGTTTCTACTTCTTTCTCTAAAATCCAAATTTTGAATCGTATCTCTTACCACCCCCGTAGATTGATTCTTTCTAAAACTACCATATCAGACCCATCAAATTGTTTAACCATTATTCTCCTTTATTATACGCTCATTTTGTCATAACTTATTCACCAATTTATATCTCATGACTGAGATTGTCGCTCCCATTTCTAACAACATCACAAACTCTTTATTTCCTACAGTCACATTTACCCTTGAACAAGAATCAAAATCCCTATTATTTTCTACCATCAAATTTGGATTCATATCTTTCAAAATATCCATTTCCTCTAAATCATTTCACCACATCTGATTTTTTATCCCGTTCAATTCATTTTTTTATTTTCCACCATTACATCTGATTATACCACTTCTCACTTTTATTTCTTTTATACCGTTCTCACAACCTTATATATTAATCCCCCCCCACTCTCTTCCCTTTCCACATTCTTATTTATAATATTATTTATTTGTCCCTGAGAATCTTCCGAAATGAAATTCCCTAATATAGCCTCTTTTCCATAGTCATCCCACTGGACAATCCTTGGCAAAATGCCCAATCTCTCGACATTTGAAGCATGTTATATTCCCAGTATTGTTTCTTTCATACCAATTGGTATTTCCCTTTCATTTTTACTATGTTCACCCGTAGCCAAATATTCCACTGCTGGAAAAGCTTTATTAATCAATGAATATTTATTTTGCTCATGCCCCTATTTTCCACAATTTACACAAACAATTATTCTATGTGTATCCTCCACTAATTCATACGCTGGAACATAACAACTCTCTACACTGTGCTCCTTATTTCCGCATCTTTTACAAACCGCTGGTAACGCCCTTTGATCCATTCTTTCATTACAATCCCTGTTTATGTGGCCAGATTTCCCAAGTGTGAAACACGTTCTATTCGACGACGCTCTTTGATTAATTTTCTCCTTACAGTCTCTGCTTATGTGGCCATATTTCCCACATGTAAAAATTTTCCATTTGATCCCGTTCCAATTGACCAACCCCTTCTATTTTTCCCCCTTTCTCCTTTTTATAATTATTTACGTTATATTTAATTTGCCTCGTACAATTACCTAATTTCCCATTCCATTTCTTCAATTTTTTAAGCATTTCCTTTTTTTTCTTTATATTCTCTTTCAATTTTTTTTTTCAATATTTTCAATTTCTATTTTCTCTATTCCCATACCCTTTATCATTTATTATTTCAATTCATTATTTTCACATCCCATATTTTTATTTTCCGTATCAAATTCATTTTTATCTTTTTCATAATCTTGATGATATCTGGTTTATTAATATTAATTCCAAATTTTCTCTTTTCAGAATCTCTAAAGATAACCGTTTTTAATATTCTATTTTTTCTTCATTATTTTTCATATTACACATTTCATTAAACAATTTTTCTATTTCTTTTTTCAATTTACCAAAATTTTTCATTTTTTTCTATTTGAGTAACATTTTTTAATCTCAAAATAATTATAAGTTTTTATATTTTTTTATCAAACATTTTAGAATTTTATTTTATATTTTCTTATACTCAAAATTGATTCTTCTATAATTTACAATAAATTGATTATTAATTATTAAAAAAATTTTCACGATTTTAAATGGCAAAAAATAACACAATGCAATCCTAACACAATTATTATCAAACAATACATTAAATTCCCCCAAAAAATACAAAAAAAATTTACCTTTTATTTTCTATTTTGATTCGTCTTTTTAATATTTAATGGTCCATGATCATAAATTTTTAGTTAGTTTTTATTTGTCGTATTAATATATAATATATATATATATATAATATAAATAATACACTATAATAATACAACAGTTTGAATAAACATATACTAAGTCAAATATCGAAACTTTATTATACATTGATTTATATGATATTACAGATCGGCAGGGCTTAAAAAACGTACCTAAGATTCAATCTCTCCAAGAGACATTAATCAAAATTTTAGCATACTACTTGACCAAAAGACAAAAATGCGATAACAGTTATTATCCTAACAAAGACCACTTATTCGCCGAAATGATGACTCAAGTAGGGGAATTAAAAAAACTCAATGCTTTGCATTCCAGAAAGGTTATGAGCTGCAAAAAGACACTCCTGCTCGATTATAATGGAATGGTAACTGTGACGAATGACAAAGTTATTCATATTTCCTCATTTTTAAGATCTATTAATTGTTCAAATATGTATTAACATTCGTTTTGTAAATTAATTTCGAGAATTTCGGAGGTTTTAATAGATACCAACCAGTTGAGTGAATTATTTTAATACTGACAGTAATAACCTCTAATTTACGTTCAATATTAATTTTTTTAAATAAAATATTTATATAAAATTTAGGATAGTTTTTTAAATCCGAAAGAATCCCTTATTCTTAAGCATCAAGGTGGGTTTCTCAGGCAAAATTGCGACATGTCCGTTTTACGTAGTTTTTTAAAGCGCAAGCCATGCGATACGAATTTTTCAAAAAAGGACGAAAATCGTTGTCCGATAGTAGGCACTAACGATAAAATACTAAGAGCCTTTTTATCTTCTGACACTAATCCTTCTAATTTGAAACTCCCCACTGACTCAAGATTTTCTGCCAATTCTGTAGAAACAAATCATTCATTTTTTCAATCATTTTTTCCAAATGAATCCGTTACTGATATCCAGGCCATGATGGATTTAAAAGAGGATGTAAGAGACAAAAAAATGGAAGATGTTCAATGCGTAGTCAACAGAAAATGCTTTTCAACTTCGCCTCAAACCACAAATCGTTTAACTCGCACTAATAGTGATTTCATCAAATTTAATTCTTCAACCAATCCTAAGAAACTCGATAATTTCAACATAAATATATCAGATACCTTGAGCCACGAAAATTTAGATATTAAAATAGAAACAATTACCAAAAACAATATTTTATCGGAAGAATCAAAAAGTATGGTCCCCCCAAATTTATTAAATCAAGAAAGATACCAATATGACTTAAACGACGCCGTTCAATACCAACCGCTAGATTTATCGGTAAGAAAGAGACCGAAAACTATATAATCTCTTAAATAAATATTTTTGAGGTCTTTATTATACTGACAGCTATTAACCAATAATAAAATCATAATAATTACTTTAATGATCTCTTCGATTGATTTTATGAATCAATTCGTAATTTTTTACATATTTTTATTATTTTATATGGTTAAGATTTGAAAAAAGGTATAACATTGCATCAATTTTTTTAACACGCATTACTTTATATAAATTAAATGCATTTATTGTCTTTTAAGCATTGGATATTTTTTTGATCAAAGATCGATCCTGTCCGTTTCAAATATATGGTTTTATACTAATTGATTATATTTTTTCAAACGCAATCAGATTTTAGTATTATATCATTCATTTAATTTTAAAATAAGGATTAAAAAAATCACACGATACTTTATTATATTCGATTTCTAGTGATAAAATCATTATGTATAATTACCCTGATAATTAATGTAGTTATATAATTGTTATATTCAAATATATTTTGTTTTTTGTTTCATTTTAATCAAATTTTATGAATAAAATTAGTTACTAATTAAGTTTTACAACTTTAAACTTCTCGGAATGCCTTTTACGGATAATAAGACCCACGATGTTGCTTCCAAAAAAATTCTATCATATAATTAAAAAATTGCCATCCCCGTTTATCAAAATGCTGATGAACATGTATTTAGTTGGTAACTTTAAAACTTGAATTATATCAAATTGATGGGGCATATTGTATGTAGTAGATTCATTATTAAAAAAAAATATTAAAGTTTTGATTAAGGGCCTTGTTCTATCTACTTCAATTATTAATTTATAATTTTAGACTCTATTATCCCTAAATTTGAAATTACAGTATATTAAAAACACTATATAAAAAGTAGGATAAATTTTATGAAAATCAAATATAATCAAAAAAATTTTTAAAAGGAAACTAGGGGAGACCGGGGATGGTTGGGACATTTTTCGTTCAAACCTTAATAATTTTAATATTAATAGACTAATCTGAATAATTAAAACATCCTCTGAATCCCATAAGTATAGGCTACTTGAAATAATTAATATATATATTTTATGAGGATTATATTTTTTTAGAAAATTAAATTTAAAACAAAATTTTTTTTGTCCCAACCATGACAGACTCTGTGTACGTTGGGACACACATATGTGATAGTTGTGACACTCATGAAATAGAGGTCTAAATAAATTTAAAATCAGTAATCCAATAAGACTAGAGACTATGACACATATGATTTTATTGATAATATTGTAATTCATAATCAATAACTCTATAAAAAAAATTTTAGCAAAATTTAGGAAATTTATTTTGGGGAAAAAAAAATGTAAAAAATTTTTTTTATTTAAAAATCCAAAACCTTAATTTATTTAACAAACTTAAGTAGCTTTATCAGGGAGAAAAAAACGTACAGAATAAATAACTTTATGGTTATATTTGTATTAGAGACCTTCATGGGCCGGGCCGGCCCACGTCCCCCGGCCCATGAGCCGGGCTCTAATTATAAATTTTCTAGCGGTGTTCGTTGGAAATTTCTGCAATAGGGCTTGGGCTGGGGCCCGAAATTTTTAAATTCAAATTTAGCTTATTTTAAGGATATTTAATAGGACAAATATAACAAATCATTCTGATTTTATTAGTGTTATTTATCAAATTTCCTATACACCTTGGGAGAGTATATATTTTTTAAATCGGAAATTGGTATAATTTTACTTAACCTAAAACAACGGCCTGGGCACGAAACAGCGAAAATCAGGGAATATTCCCAAAGATGGCCAACATTTTCGATATGACATTATTTTATACGAAGCGTATCAAAATAATAATGAAATTAAGTTAAAATTAAGAGCAAAGGAATTTTTAATATCAAAATTCCAAATAGATATTTTACACAAAATCGCTACATTTTAAATCCTAAATTCCGCCAGTTAAGAATGCATACTTTGGAAGAAGCACTTGAAAAAAATGGTACAAGGGCCTTAATGATTGATTATTCAGATCATCATCCAATTCCTATATATGATCTAGATGAAGCAAATATCCATAGAGCTTCAAGTAACATGTATTTTATAAATATCTTTATCTATATAATATTTTTAGATACTTCAGATCTGGATGAAGTGCATGTGCATGTTCCTATTCCTACTTCGAGGATTACTAGAGCTACCAGTAATTTATTCTTTATAAATCTTTTTAGCTATATAATATTTTTAGCTTCATCCTCATTATTGGATATGTCTTCATGGGAGGATGATATAATACTTCATAATGAGACGGATGCTGATGAGATTAATTTATATATGGATATTCAGCTAAATGAAGAGGATATCAACTATGATGACTGCATTCTAGATTGGTGGAAGAAGCATGAAAAAATCTTGCCAAAATTGGCAAGATTAGCCAAAAAAATTCATGCAATTCCAGCATCTAATATTTCCAGTGAACGGAATTTCAGTACTATTGGAAGGGTTATTGAAGAAAGAAGAACAAATTTAAATAACGAAATTGTAGATAATATATTATTTTTAAATGATAATTTGAAAATATAAATTAAAATTTTGTTTATATCATTTATTAATATAATATATATATATTATTACTAAAAAAATATTATATTTCTATTAGTATTACTTCAGCATAAGTTAAGTATACATAAAATAATTTTATGGGCTTGGGCCGGGCTTGGGAAATTTTTTAAATATTATAGCGGGCTTGGGCCGGGCTTGGGAATTTTTTTAAATATTAAAAAAGGGCCGGGCCTGGGCTTAAAATTTTTTTTACGATGGGGGGCTTGGTCCTAAAATCTAGGCCCATGAAGGTCTCTATTGTATATCCAAAATACAGCGTAGCTGCACCTCATTTCATCCATTTTAAAATAATTATGTATTTTTTATTTTTAAAAAGATTTCGGTAATTGTTTTGATAAAGGAGAATACTCTATTTTATAGAGAAAATAAACTTTGATATTAACTAATTGTTTAATTATTGATATAGATCTGATTTGGAATCTCTTAAATGGAAAATAAAGCACAAAACAATTGAAATTATATTATATTTTAATTAGTGATAAGGTAACGTCGATGAAATGAGCGCCAAGGAAAAGGAACGCTATTTGTTACCTGTTTCAAAAAGGAACGCGTTTCTTTTTTTGAAGTAAGAGTAACGCAAAACATTTCTTGAAATTAAAAAAAAATATATATTTTATTTTATAAATAATATAACCAAAGTTTTTAATTCAGGTCAACCACCAAAATTTTTTATCTTATTTACTAGTTGATAGCCCGTCAAGGATGACGGTATCAAAATTTTCTACTTAATTTGATGATGGGTGAATCAGATATTTTCCCTTTATTTGATAGTAGATAAATCAGAAATCAGCTTATCTTATGAGGTGTTAATCATATATTTAGATTAAGTGTACAAAAGATTGCTTTTTATTAAAAATTAAATATTGTGTAGGCCAATTCCAACCATTAATACATTAAAATATGATATAATTTTAGGAGAAAGCCAATTTTTTGCAAATTTTATATTATAATTTTTTTTTTTATAAATTCTACCTCATAAGATCTAGACCTGACCACTTAAGGCGATAATAATTATAGTCAAAATATTACCTTTTGTTTGATGCCCATATTAAATAATGATAAATATTGTTTTAAATTTCTTACCCCACATGATGTAGATCTTACCACTTAAAGCGACTTTTAATATTGCAGTCATAAGATATTTTATTTACCTTTTATTTAATGCCCATATCTAATTATTACTTTTGACCCCCCCCCCCCATCTCAGGCCTAATACAACTCATTAAGACACTACTATTTTAGTTTACTTAGTTACTTTATAACTAGTTACATTTTTTGGAATATAACGAGCAAAATTTTTTAAAATATGTTAATATTTATAGATATCCTATTCATTTTGTTTATATGATTCTCAAAATGTATACTGTTTATTATATAATGTTTCACTCACATCTAGTGCATTGCTGTTAACGTAGCTATTAAAAGTAGCGCACTATATTTTTTAATTAGCGATGTAACGATGGCACTTTTATAAAAACGTAGCTATTTATTTCGAGCAACGATAGCTAAAAAAAATAGCTACTTTATAAAAAAATTTAATTAATATTTAAAATGGATACATTTTAAAAAATAAAATGTAAATCCTATCACTCATTTATCATTCCATTACAAATTAACCAGTGTTTCGGACGACAATCTCAAAAATGAATGACCTAGAATGTTAGTTATTTATGAATCAAAATTTTAGAGTTGTTGCTTAACCAGATTCAAGGATATGCCTAAGTCAAAATCGCGCAATGTGAGTTTTCATTAAATCATGTTTTTTTTAAAAAATCCTTATATGGCGTAACATTTATGAATCAATTTATAGCCCTTAATATTAAAAAAAATTAAAACAATTCAAGTGTTATCCTATTTCCCGTAAAAATAAAAAATTTCAATTGTTGAGAAGAGCTTTTTTGGGGGGTTGATATGCTCTAGAAATGTTTATAATTTATATTTAACTGTCTAATAAAAAAATCGATAGTTTTTTCTTTTTTTAATTTTATTATTTTATAAATAAAAAATATATAATATAAATATTATAATATATTATATTTAACAAAAATATGTATTGTATTCAGAGTTGTTACTAATAGTGGCTACTTTTTTTGTAATTATTTAATTTTTTAGCGCGCTACTTTTTTTGGCGCTACTTAGCTACTTTTAAAAAATATAATGAAGGTAAGTATAAACATAAAAATTTAAATATAATATCATAATTAATTATAATTTTTATGATTTATTATTTAATTTTGATATTTTCAATTTGTAATTTATATTTTCATTTGTATTATAAACTAAATCACGTGTTAATAATTTAAAATGTCATCGCCTATGGATATTTAAATCGTTGAAAGTGATTCAGACAATGATATTAATGAAATGGAAGATACCAGGGAAGAATGTTCTTAATAGCTATAATACAAATTTCCCATTCCCTAGATTTAAAATTTTTTTTAAAATAAATATCAAAACCAAAACTGGTTTCAAATTTATTTGTAAAAATGTAAAAAATATATTTCCTCAAATCAATCCAGTTATAACCTCAAGACCTAAAGATAAATTGTCATTTTTACATTCTAATAATATTTATT